GGCCGGGTGCGCCGGGGGAGGCGGGTGAGGGTCCCGGGCAGCCCCCCGGCCCGTGTGTGTGGGCGCTCTGCCTGGCGGGCACCCACAGGTCAACGTCCGGCACGCTGTGCTGTGCTGGCGGCAGAGACTGGCCACCCCGCCGGGGGCCCAGGGCTTCCCCCGGCTCCGGCTCCGAGTCCCCGCTGTCCCTGTCGCTGCTGTCGCTGCTGCCGCTGCTCTCGCTGCTGGAGCTCCACCGCACGCTGCGCAGGCGCCGCCGCCGCCGCCACCGCCTCCTCCCCTGGCTCTTGCCCTTTCCTGGGGAAGGGGCAGCCTGAGGCCTCGTCTCCTCCGGCTCAGCGAGGGCACAGGCTGCTCTCGGGAGGGCGCTGCCCACCAGGCCCTGGGCCACAGAGCCCTCTCCTCTTCGCCCACCCGCACACCCCTCGCCCTGCCCCGGGCGGTGGGGCCTCACCCTGCCCAGGATCTTCCACTTGCTCAGACACTGGGAGCCCGTCCGGTGGGGCAGCTCCGAGGCGATTTTCTCCCAGTGGCCTGCGAGGAGGACACGTGGCAGCGCTCCCGTCTGAGGACACGCCCTCGGCCAGGAAAAGGCTCTTCCCCGAGAAGCTGGCCCTCAGGACGCGGTCGTCCCCAGAACGGGCTCCTGCTGCCCTTCCCGCTCAGAAGCTTCCCCGCCAGCAAAGTAGCGCACAGCTGGGGACGGAGCGACTGGACGGGAAAGGCCTTTCCTAGGGAGCAGCCGCACGGAGGGCCGAGGCGCCAGACCGGCGAGCGAGGCCTCTTCCCTTCCAGCGCACCTCCGCCTCCGTGTCCCCGTGACTGTGGCCTGGTCTGTGTGGTGGGACGCCACCACCTCCTGTCTGGGGCCTCCTGGGAGGGGAGGGGACCCGAGGCCGCGCCCGCAGGACTCACCCACACCGTGCTTCTCCACCAGCTCCAGCAGCTGCTCCTCCTCTTTGGGGCTCCAGCGCCCCTTCTTCAGGCTGAAGTGCAGCCTCCGTAGGTACCTGGAGGCGACGAGGACACGTGTGTTTTGGGCTGGGACGGCCTGCCCTGGACGTCAATGGGCCACAAACCGGAGCCCTGTGCCCGCACCCCAGGTAAACTGGACTCCGTCAGAAGGAAAGCTCGTGGGCTTCCCCGTCGGGAAAGGGAAAGACGGTCCCAGACGGCGAGTTTGCAAACCACGTGCCCGCGAAGAGGCCCGGTCTGGAGTTTACAACGGCCTCTCCGCGCCAGTGACCCGACAGGTAGCCCAGCAGACATGGGCAGGGCCCTGGGCACTTCCCCAGGGAAGGCAGAGCGCGGGGCGCTCCCAGGGTAGCTGTGGGAAAAGCCACTCGCACCGACGAGACACACAGCGCCCCAGACGCCCCGTCAGAACAGCAGGGCCTGCTGGCGAGGCCATGGAGACTGGGCCCCGCACGCGGCTGGGGACAGAGCGCGGGCAGCCCCTGTGGAGTGGCGTCTGGCGGGTCCCCGTGGGAGCTGGCACCACAGGCCCAGGTGTGTCCGAGAAACGGGGACGCCGAGCGCAGCACCTCGCTCACGGTGTCCCTCTCCCAGGCTCCGGCCCACGGTGCTCAGCACGTCCCCACCCGTTTCTCAGGCAACAACACGCTACCGCCCAGACACTGCCCACTGTCCTCCCATCGTCCCTGTCCTGGGCACTCGGGTGTGCCCCGCCCGGACACCACGAACACACGTGTCCCCCTCCTGGATGCTGGGAGTGAGGCATGTCCCTGCCTGGACCCTGTGGACGATGCTGCTGTGAGCACAGTGTACAAACAAGTGTCTGAGTCCCTGTGTTCACATCTTCTGGGTGTGCAGGGGGAGGTGGGGGACGTGGCGGTGGGTGTGCAGGAGGAGGTGGGGGACGT